AGACGAGGTTGTGTTTAATATCACCAGCCCTCAGTAAGGGACAGAGGGACTGTCTGAAATAGGATGCAAATACCCAATTTCAGCCACCTCAGTGAGAAATTTAAACGTTTCTAATGAAGTTTTTTTTTGTTGTTTTTGTTTTACTTTTAATTATTTCTAATGGTTTTTCTGGCTATATTTGCTGATTGGTTTGTACATATACCTATATGTTTTTACAGTTTTCTTTTCTATTTTACCATCTCCTTTTCTCTTATTAATCTGTTTCTATTTCATCCTGTTTTCCTAGGTGTTAGTGATTTTTGGCGGGGGCGTGTGTGTTTTCGTTTGGTGTGGTTTGGGGGTGTCTTGCTGGTTGGTTTTGTTGTTTGATCTGGGGGTGGGTGCTCGACTTGTTCTCTTGCTGTGTCACTCTTCCTCTCCCCACCTCTCCCTCCAATAACAAAATGTCTTGTTCTCTCCCTCTGCCTCTTCCCTCTGGGGGCCTCCATCCACAACCCTGCTCCCACTTTTCCTTCTCCTGCCTTTTGAACATTCCAACCTTCCTTCCTCCTTCAGACCCCAACTTCCTTACTCCAAGTGAATTGTGTTTTAACATCCCTTGAAGCCACAGTCTGACCCTCTGGGGAATGGATAAGGTGGTTCCCAGAAGCCAGGTACCACAGCCGGTCCCCAGGAGTGAGGCACAACAGCAGCTGAGCAGTGGCAAAGCTGACGGGGGTGAAGAGCTGCTTCCCTGGGAACAGGCGATCCAGCTCTGGGAGGAGGAGCGGGACGGGCACTGGAGGGCTGGGGAATGGAGACCAGTTAAATTCAGAACCCATCTGGTGGGCCCTGGCTCATCCCTTCCGAGCCCAGACAGGGCTGGAGGACGGCATCTCACGCGCCTCCCCCAGCACGGTCTGAGACTCCCAAAACGAGCTGTTCAGCCAAGAAGGGAGCAAAACCCTGAGTGAAACCCACATACACACTCTCCCAGCAAGCTGGAGTGCTTTAGGGCACAGCTGAGCACCAACAGTTTTGTAGGATAACTGAATAACAGAAAGAAAACCTCCTATTTCAGAAACCCAACCAAGACAAACAAGCAAATTGGCTCCAAGAAAATGGTGCAGGAAAAATAGTAAGTCTCAACTCCTCCACAACCAGAATTAAAGCCGTGCAGGGAGAAACAAGTACTGTTTAGAAGCAATGTTTGCTTCCCTGATTCAAGCCAAGCCCTTGTCCAGGAGCAGTGGACAGGGGACCTGGGTGGGCTAGAGTGTGGCCGAGACACCTGCTCACACAGCACCACTGCAAAGCCCACTGAGCACTGAGCTCCAAAGCCCAAGCATCCTCCATCCCACAGCCTCCCTCTCCAGCTTCCCCACAAGCAGCGAGAAGCAGAAATAGGGCTGGCCTCAGTGGTAAAGTCAGACTCGAGGGCTCACTGATAGTGTTGGTCCTTTTCCAAATGCCGATTACCATTCGATTTGGACCAAGAGCGTTGACCCAAGTGCTAGATTAGCACCCTGAGGAGGCACCTTATCAGGATCCCTCTTATTCCAGGGCGTGGTCTGCTTCTGTTCTCACACTCAACCTTCCCCCTTGCTGTCTGTCTTCCTATGAACTTCACTCTCTGAGTCTGTGATAAGAACTTGGTGGTGGGCTGCTGGAGTCCCACCGTAAAGAGCCACAACACCAAGAGCCGCAGCACACCTATCAACAGTGGTGGAGACTTGGGCTTTGTTGACTGTGACCTTGGAGCTGACCCCAGTAGGCGTGGCTGGCTGTAATTAGCTGCTGGTACTAAAATGTGCTCTCAGCTGCACAGGTCTAGAGCTTATGCAGACCCCACCTGCCAACAAAAGCAGATAATTGAGTTTCAACTCCAGCTCTGCTTTTATTATTATCTACCTTCTCAACCAATTCAAGATAATAAGTCATTTTGCCACTCAGATGAGTGGGCTGTGGAGGACATTGTTAATAAGTATGTTTTTAACATTTACTAGGCATTGTTATGAAGTGGCTGTAATTGTGATTAGAATATCCTCTCAATGAGGTGTTAGAGGCTGGATATAGTAATGAGTTCATATTCAGTGAAAATCTTTGTTCCTAGACATTCACCCAATCCAGAACACAGGAAATGTGAAAGCAGCTTGCTAAAATTCCTTTATAGAAAAGTAGAAGTGAGAATCAACCCAGAAGACTGGCAGAAATACAAGATGAAAAATCAAGGAAACACTCTACCCAAATAGCTTACAACAGTGGGGGAAATGCCAGAAAAAGGAATTTAGCAAATTTACAATTAAAACATCCAAAGTCCTAAAAGAAGATATAAGGAATGAACTAAGAGGACATACAAAAAAGTGAAAGAATGTTCCCATAAAAAGTTAGAGAATCTGAAAAGAAAACAAATTCTGGAAACGAAAGGCTTAATAAATCAAATTTAAAACTTAAAATTGAAAGCACCACTAATAGACCACATTGAAGACAGATTCTCAGGCCCCAAAGACAAAGTATATAATCTTGAAAATAAAGTCAACAATAAAAGATCTTAAAGGACCATGGCCAGAATATCCAAGAGATCTAGGATGACGTTAAAAGGCCAAATATAAGGATCAATGGTTTAGATGAAGGAACTGAAGTAAAAACAAAAGGAACGGATAAGCTCTTAGAAGGCAGGTTCCTCTCATCTCTAATAAAACCATCAGTAAACTGCACGCAGAACATGTTTGTGGGCACACGCAGTACACAGGGGCATCTGATGCGTCAGGATCCAGTCCCTTCTCTCGTAACTCTCAGATAGGAGCCCTTGGGATGAGCATGACGGAGAGTGAAGGTGCCTGCATTTCCTCCAGACTGTGCTGAACGGGGAAGGTTGTTCTGGCCGTGCCTGTGCAGGAGAGTTGATCCAGGGCTTCCCTGGCTGCCGGTCGGCTTCCATTCAGCTTCACTGCACTCCCTACGCCAACACTTGACCTCTAAGTCATTGTAAGTTACAGTCAGAGGTGATGCAGGGCGAGTGAATCTCCTGTTTAATTCAAAGATATCGTGGCCCCTTGATGTTCCTTATGAATTTAGGTTCAACTTGTCAGATCCTGTGAAGACTCTTGTGGAGATTTTGCTTAGAACCATTTAGGTGTTTATGATATTAAAATGCACCGAGGAGCTCGATGCCAGGCAACCCTCTGGGGAAGCCCTTCCCCATGCCATTGCCTTCTGAGGAAGGAAGCTCTGTAGCAGAAGACTAGAAACCACCGTGAACAATATTTCACCAAACGTAGTTACCGTGAATATAACCAAGTGAAAAAGAAAAGGGAGGACAAAAGAATAAAGAAATTTGTTGAAGAACTTTTCAGAACAAATATCTTCTCTGTAAACTCGCTAACCCCACCACCAAATCTTACTGTGCCATTTTGGACCTGGCAAGGAAAAGGGATTTGTTGTCACCTGCTTCAGCTGCGGTAGCAAGATGCCAGAGCTTGGGTGGCTGAAACAGCACCCATCTATATCCTCACAGTTCTGGAGGCTGGAAGCCCATGATCCAGGTGCCCACAGGTGAGGCTGTCTTCCTGCCTTATGGACAGCTCTCCTCACAAGGTGCAAAGCTCCGGTGCCTCTTCCTCTTCTTATAAGAACAGTCCTACTTAATTAGAGTTCCACGGTACCACCTCATGGAATTTTAATCACCTCCCTAATGGCTCTGTCCCTAAATACAGTCACAGTAGGGACCTCGACACATGAATTCAGTACATACTTGGATTCTCCTCCAATCCTGAGCCAAAAATTTGCCTAAAACATATTGGTAACTTGGTATATGACTATAAATCAATGGGGGAGAGACAGTGTGTTCAATCAATAGTGCTAAGACAATTTGTCACTCATATTAAAAAAAATTTTAAAAAGTTGAGTGTATAATCACAACACACCCAAAAATAGTCCTAATTGACAAAATTCTAATTGTAAAAAACAAAACTTAAAAAAAATAGAATTATAACATAAATTAAGAGTTAAGATTTCCTAAATGAAAAACAAAGAAAAAAATCAATATATTATATGGCATTAATATTAAAAAATATCTAGACTAATATCACTTTTAGAAAAGCAAGAAAAAAATTTAGAAAACATAAACTGGCAGAGATATTTTTAAAGCATATAAGCAAAGAATATGAAGAATATATGAAGTTTTTCCAAACAATAATAGAAAGTCCACAACCCAGTAGAAAAAGAGGCAAATATATGAATTAGTGAAGAGGAATCTTCGGTCAATAAATAAGACCAGAAATGTTCCTGTTAGTAAGCAAAACCCACAGACCGCTCTAGTGTCAGGCAAAGGGAAAGGACTCTAACGACCAAGGTGCCACAGAGCCAGAGGATGACACTAACTGAACATGGCTTCCAGGTTCCAGGTTGAGTGGCAGCTGGCTCCACAGACCAGGCTGGGCAATGAGGGAGTGGAGATGTGGGTCCAGGGAACAGAGACGTGGAGTTGGAGGAACTGGGGTATGCAGCCTCGAGGAGTCACACAGGTCTGGAGCCCCAGAGAGAAGCTGGCCTGGAGACACAGACTGAGAAGTCCAAGCACCCGTGCAGGTGATAAGGTGTGACTGTGAAGGGGACCGTTAGGAGGAGGGAGGGTTCAGAGAGACAGAAGAGCAACCTCCTAATAAGGCAGAGAGTCAGGGAGAACCAGGAGGATCCTACAGTCATCTGTACCCAAAAAGAAGAGCCAACAGCAAACCAAAAGGAATTGCTCCATGAGTTTTAAACTTAATGGGGACGGGGCAGGGCGGGGGGGGGGGGGGGGGGGGGGGGGCGGGGGGTGTTGCATTTTTAAATCACTTTTGTTCCTTCTAAACCAATGAAATTGTTAAATCAAGGAAAAGTAAAGTGAAAGGCATTCCTGTATCATTTGTCTGTTTATTGGAAGATGGAGTTTTTCTATGAGAGCATTTGAGAGACTCTACAACAATTTAATAGATTAAGCCCCATCCAGGGAGAAAAAAGAAACAAATACCCCTGGAAACCTTCAAGAGTGCTGCATGTTTATTTTCATAAATAAGTATAAAATAGCAAATGCACGCCACAATTTTACAATATCTTGTAGAAATTAGTCATTCTTGGTAATGGAAGGTTCTAGAGTTCACGGACCATGCAGTCTAAAGAGATTTGACTCTGGCAAACGTGCAGGCCCCCTTCCATCCCAGGGTTTGCTTTTCATTCTTGCGGAATAACAGACAAACAGGTCATGTGCCAAAGAGGTGTGCTCTCCACGGTTACGGGATCCAGCTCACACGTACCGGGGGCTTCCATGGTGTCGTTTTCAAATGCAGAGGAGAAAGCAAAATTATGTTAATTCAGCAGAATAAAAGCAGTCAATATCCCACAGGTGAAGCAGGATTTTATCCAAACCGTAAAATTGTGAATACATCCCTATGGACTTGTGGATACAAGATGTGTGTAGTCATGTAATCTACTATGTATTTCTAAGGACACCATTATTTAACACAAAAATGCTGGACCTGTGTTTCTGTAAAAACATTCCATAAACAAAAATGATTTTTAATAAAATAAACAACATGTATATGAAATTATAAAAAGTTCTACATAATGAAGTTTAATATCTATGCTAAATAGAAACATAGTATGTTTTATTGTGCTTAAATTGTACATGATATAAGTTGAAATGTTTCTATTGGGTTCATGAAAAATGCCACAAAAAGGATTAATACATGAAATGTTAGCAATACAACATAAAGCAAACCTTAAACCATCCAAACACACTTTAATTATATAAAAGGCAGATCTATTTACTCAAAAGACACAACTAAAACTTTTGCATTTTAGAGTGTGTACTGACACAGAAATAAAAAACTAACTGTTGATAATATGATCAAAACACAAATAATTTTCCTTACAGAGAGATAATCAGAACATAATAAATCCTACGGAAACTTTGACCTTTACAACTTAACCTTTATTTACAATGTCAGCAATCACCCATTAATATTGAACATGTTAAAGACTTAAGACACAAGAAGAACGTTGAAGCAAGAAATCACAATAGGCTTTCTTCACACTTCTAGTACTTACTGACTACAATTGCTCCCTTTCCCTTATGTCACTGCATTTGTGACAATAACCAAAACATTCAGTTAAGCTCTGGGGTTCAAGCTGATAGAACTGCAGGGAATTACCTGGTCCCATCCGTGGACTGAAGCTCAGCCCTGCTGGCTGAAGTCAGTGGAGCTCCATTAGCTACCTCCTGATTTACAAATGCGTTTCTGATTCCCCATCTCCTACAGGATGTTATGCCTCATCAAGAACAATATTTTGTTCCTCACCGACACAGGGGAACACTTTTTCTTTCTCCATCTGTCACTCAAACTTCATGGGAGGAAATATACAAATTTCACGGGAGAAGAACAAAAATCAGACCCATCTATAAACCAGGATTTTTTTTTTAAAGTAAAGATCTTATTATATTTGTAAAAATGATTTTCAAAACCAAAGAACTACATGTGCTCAGCACTTTAGAAAAACAGAGAACCTTAAGGGGAAAAAAAAAAATGGATCCCTTCCAGGAAGATGTTGCATTACACACAAGAACAGCAAAACCTTCTGCCCTAACCTAACATCACAGAAACGAGTGGACAGCAGTCAGTCTGTCTGTCTGTCTGTTTCTGGTGCTAGTGGCTGCCTGGGGGCCTCGACAGACCCAGGTAAATCACACACCATCACCAACAGTCATCGACCTTCTGACAGAGCCCGTGTTGGTGTGCGATGCTCTGCGCTCAGAGCACATGGTCCTTAGCTGATGGCAAGCACTGTTACTCTGGTCACCACAGGAAAATGAGATATGTATGTCTGGGTTTTGCTGTGATTTTAAAAAATAATAATAATAACAACATTTTATCCTAGAATAAACTTTTCACTAAAATGTTGGTAACTCTCTTATTTTGAGAAAAACATTAAATTCCTCCGAGTCTCCAAGAACCAGCACTATGGTGTCTACCATTTCTTAGCCTTTCCTCTCACGCTGTACCCATGGCTTCTCTCAGTTTCACACAGAAGGGGCTCAGCCTGAATCCCGCTGCGTTGAGAGCCCCTCCTGCTGCTGCGAAGTGTGCCAGGGCGTCTCTATGAGCGTTTGATATTCATCCACGTACTATATTTTTGTTCAGACTGGCACCAATTCAGATGTGATGTTCTCTGCTCAGTGATTAACCTTTTTTAACTTCATAAAATGAAAGTGTAGGGCTAATTCCTGAGGAGAATTAGCCCATGAGACACAGGAGCCGTCTTAGGGTCCTGCAGTCACAATTTTAGATACACAGTTTCTTTCCTAACTGGATGAACTCCATCCTTCATGCACAGGATGGGTTGTCTAGCAGAAATTCTGAGGACAGTGGTTGATGAGCTGTGCCCTGGCACCTTAATTTTATCTGATGGCTTCATAGCTCTGAACCCAGAGATGCCCACGGGCTCTAAGCCACGAATGTGGGATGGTTTTTCTCTACACCCAGGGCAAGAATTGACACTTTGAGAATGAAGCAGGAAGTGTGATCATGTCACGCTCCTCCTTGTGGGTCTGCAGTCAATGGGTCCTCCGCCTCTTCCCCCCAAAGAAGGAAAACAATTCTTAAATTAAAGGTCATTCTATGGCCACAGAGAAAAAAATAATGAGTAAAAGTTTTTTCTCCGGCCATAGTTTGGTATGTTAAAACTAGAGTCCCTGGGCACTCCGCCACTATTCTAACAGAAGCTAAGCGGGTAATAGCCCTAGCCTGAGAAGGACTTCAGTCAAAACATGTATTTGTTCTGCAAACCCCCTCCTGTTCCAATTCTACTAACAAACCAGTTGTTCACAAGCGCCTTAAAAATTCAAATAAGTTTAAGATAGCAGTTGAGTGACATTAAAACTAGGAAATCTGAATATACAGCATCATGAAGAACCAACATCTCAAAGCATCATATTGTTTATTACATAAAAGCAATGTTAGTTTTTCATAGCACCCTGACTCTCTATAAGACAAAACATGAAGCCTAACCCAGATCTCTTCCATCCACTCACATAATTGATCCCGAATTCCCCACAAAGTGCTCATTTATACAGCTAGCGTGACATGGGGACCACCTTCCCACATTTGGGAGGTGAAGAGATTTTCAACATTTATGTTAAAGTCATGTATTTCCAAAGTGATATCCACAGTTTTAATTCTCTGTGAGTGATTTCTTGCTTGGTTAGATGACTTATGTCATTTATTTATTGTTTTAAGTATGATGTTTGAAACTTGTCTAAAGTGGTAAGTTGTTATTCATTCTTTCATGGTAGGTCCCAGTTTTATCTTGTCAATGGGTGTTAAAATATGCCCACACAAAAGAATATGTCCCTGTTTTAAAATGCTTTGATAGTTATTGTGACCTATACCTTCTTGAAGTATGCTTAAAACTCCAAATTTTATTTTTCATGTAAAATGACCCATAAGGAATTCCCTAAACCTAAGTTTCATAGTATAATGAAGAAAAGAACAGGAAGAAAAAAAAGAGAAATGTTTTTATTAAAGAAGATAAGAGAAATTCTTCAATGATAAAGGAAAGAGAAGACATCTTCCTGAGACTTAGTTAAAACCTCTTATATTTAACCTCAAGTTTAAAGTCACTAAACCTGGAGCAAGCCCCGGTTGTCTGGAGCAACCAAAGTCCAGCTGATCCACATCCCCAGCCGCAGAAGAAGTGGATCAGCTTTCTTCGGTCCACAGCGCTTGATACTGCCCACCTGAAAAGGTGAGTCCATTTACCAGGAGAAGAACAATCTAGATTTTACACCAGAAACACTGCACCCCATTTTCAATTCACATGCCCAGATTAATATATCCTGTGCTTTGTAATCTCCCTGAAATACTGTAACATTATAAATCTCTGCTCATTCTTCCTATTTGTGGGAGATACTAAAATAGCTACTAGGAGAAATACATCTATTTTCCAAGTACTACAAAGTGCTTTATATAACTGCCAACTATTCTGATTCCAAATGGTTGGCTATGAAATCTGGGGGTGGGCGGGTAGTCTTTTAAATTTATGATTAATAATGATTCTTATAAAAGCTCTACAAGTTAAAATTTCCAATTCACAACTTCTACATAATTAAAAAATATATTCTTTAAAATGAGAAAAATATATTATTTCTATACATAAGGAAAGACTGGCATCATCTCTAATCATGATCACCAAACTAATGTAATTACACCCTCACATCCACCTCACAAGGAGAAAACAAATTAACTTAATCAGTCACAAAGTAGTAATCAGGCACTATTTCCATTATGATGATTTTTTTTAAAAAATTCACCTATTTCAATCTGATATCTTCTAATCACATAGTAAAGAATCTGTTTAAAAGACTAAATAAGCCAGGCACAGTGGTGCATGCTTGTAATCCCAGCAGCTCGGGAGGCTGAGGCAGGAGGATCACAAATTCAAAGCCAGCCTCAGCAAAAGCTAGGTGCTAAGCAACTCAGTGAGACCCTATCTCTAAATAAAATACAAAATAGGGCTGGGGATGTGGCTCAGTGGTTGGGTGCCCCTGAGTTCAATCCCCAGTAACACGCACTACCACCCCCCGACAAAAATAAACCAAATAAAATCAGCTTGGAAAACACATACTTGCTGATATCTCTAGGGGCAAAACCATCACAAGACAGTGCTAACAGGAATAAAGCAACAAGCAAGTGAAACTGGGTGGCCACAAACTCTTCTTATAGCCTACATTTTTCTTTCTATTACATTGTCTTACTTTTGAAGGGGAAAAAAGAAAGGAGAAGAAAGAGAGAGAGAGAGAGAGAGAGAGAGAGAGAGAGAGAGAGAGAGAAAGGAGAGAACCCAAAATCTGGGAAGAATTCCATCTGAGGAATAACGAGTTTTGTGTTTTCCAACACAGTAACATGAGGGGGAAGGAAAGGATCCTTGTTAAAGGTAGACTGGACCCATGGAAATCCATAGGATTTCCAGAATTTGCTGGGCAGCACGAGTTGTCCTTCCTTCCCGGCTCCTTCCTGAGGGCTGCCCTTCCTGGTGCCCAGGGCAGCAGGGACACTCCCAATGAATGCTCCCCCTACCAGAGCGGATGCCTTGCACTCTACCTGGATGCATTCTAGTAGAGTCTGGCTTAAGAGGAGGAAAGACAGGAAGGTCAACAAGCCAAGGAAACATGCTGACCTCCTGCCATCTCCAAGTTACCTCTGAAACTAAATTGCAACTGTTTTCATTCAAAAGTTTATTGCTTTAAGAAAATAACATGTTTTCCTATTACCGATTCTTTAAAGCTCTATGCTTTCTTAGATAAATGCTTTAGAACAAGCTGCCGTCTACTACTGTCATTCCTAAATTTACAATAACGAATGCAATGGGAGTGATTCTATCCTTCTATCCTTACAAACATAAGTGGCCGACTGTCCTTGGCAGATTCTTCTCTGTCCCTCTTATTCAAATCTTCTAAGTGACATAAAAACACATGCCGTAAAGCATGCCATTCTCTTTTAGTAGCTACTGAGAGTCCTCCAGTCTCCCGCTGAGGCCTCTGATTGTGAAATTCCACAGGGAGGGTCCAACCGTCTTGCCTCACCAGGTTTAGCAAGAACGATGCGCTCACTGCTCAGGGTCATGGCTTCGTTCTCCTACTCCAAGTCCTTGCTCTTAGTCACCATCTATGCCACCACGGAGTAGTCCTTGCTCTGCTCATTGCTCCCGTTTTCCTGAGGACTGGTGATCTTCACTTCTGGCCTCGGTGGCCTCTGAGGGTCCACATCAGCCTGGAGGAAAACAGATCAAAACAAAGGTGTTCAGCTCTTTCCTTTACAAAGGCAATAAAAGTTACAGGGGAAACCTAGCTACTCCGCGTCCCATGTAATCTCCTAAGTCCTCCACCAGAACCATGCCTCGCTCCCCTTGTGCCTCCGACGGTGGTCACCCAGCAGACACACCGTTCTATTTGCAGAGAAGGCTTTTCTGACATTGTAATCACCATTCCCTATGCTGCAGGCTTTATATTTCTGTTGTTGTTTCTTTTCTTTATTTCCCTTGGATCTTTTCTTTCAAAAAACATCTTTATATTTTTCTGTGGAGAGGGACCCAAGCCACGCAGCAGCCCCGCCCTGGAGTCCCGAGGCCCAGCCTCCTACTGAGGCTCTCCCGGGGACTCACTGGTGTGCCAGTGCTGTGCCAGGAGCCATGGAGCACAGGCAGGCAGAGCAGGATAGAGAACCCAACTGCAGGGCAGCTCCTCTCCCACGGTGTCAGTGATACTGCCCCCATGGGTCGTTTGATACTGCCCCATGGGTGGTTTGATTTCCCCCACGAGACTGAAACCAGGGGCGAGATTAGAACTCACTGGTTTGAAAAACCAAAACTCCAAAATGCTGGTTTTCAAACTATGCTGCATGGAATCCTGAAGGCCTCACAGCTCTGCCAGAGCCACCAGCAAGGACAAGAGTCAGTCCAGCTCCCCAAATCTCCAGGCCACAGTCTTACTCATCACCCTTTGTAGGGAGAACCCCAAAAATCTCTCCAGAATGCAATGGGAGTGATCCTATCCTTCAAGCACACAGTGCATGGTCATTAGCTGTAAGGACCATGTTTACACAGACATCTTAGACTTATTCCTCCTAAGTGGAATGTTAAATCCTGAGACCAAATCTCCCAGCCCCCACCCCCACCCCTAATAACCACCATTCTGCCCTCTGCCTAAGTTCAGCTGTGTTGCGCTCTGTGTATAAGTGAGACCATGGAGAAGTTGTCAGTCTGTGCCTGGCTTGTTTCACTTTACACAACGTCTTCCAGGTGTACCCATGTTATTGAAAACTGTAGCATTGTTTTAAGACGTTATATTTATGGAAGATGGATGGACAGGCAGTCCATTCATTCATGTAAAAATCTATCTAGGTCACGCATTGAATTAAGCTAGACCACTGGGGGCAGAAAATGTGTCCTAGGATCTCATGACCTTGTCCCACACAGAACTGCACTTTGATTTCATGCGGTAAACTTTCATCAAAGGCTAACACCACAAAGAGTTCTATGAAACGGACCAATGCAGTTGCCAAGTAAATGACATTGAGCACTGTGTGGACCTATGTGTGGTGGTTATCCCACCAGAGGAAGGACGAAAAGAGAGGCGTGCTGAGAGTTCCGTTGCATGTTCAGAGTGCTTTGTATAGAGGTGCAGGGGGTTACAGGAGACTCTGCACCACTTATTAAAACCTGGCCACGGGCACACTTTGCACTCTGCCAATGTTCAATTCTCCTGTTTTGCTCTAGCTACACTCAAGCGAGTTGAGTGCTTGGCTCAATGCATCCACTTAAGGTGGAACAAACCAACCTGGCTAATGCTCCCAGAGAGAAAAGAAGTCACTGATAATAGCGATGATGCTCTTTGTATCACCCAGGTCTCACTGGCCTTGATATCCTTTTCTGGCTTCTTACTTGGTCCTATAGCTTGTTTCTAGTTTTATTTTTTTCCTCCCTTTTATGATATGTGTCGTTAAAGGGCTCTGTAAATTTTTGCTACAATGAGAGGAGATGAATAGACGGACGGCTGTCAGAAAGATGGACAGGAGAACTGTCAGATGGCAAAACTAACTTGTGAACTGATTCTAAATAAGTATAAATTAAAATTATTTAAACTCTATTAGGTCTTACTTACTCTGTCATAAGTGATTTCAGTGCCAGTCGTAAGTGTTTGGATAATTCTCCAGGTTGATGCATGTGTGTGCAGGTTCTCTCCCCCGACCCCATGCAAACACACAAGAAAGCAAAGCCATACCTCGTCTTGTCCACTGCCCGCCCCTGCTGGAGACTGTCTTTCCTCCTCCACTGCCGTCTGGAGCTCCTCATTAACCTGGTCCAGTTCCTCGCCATTTTCTTCATCCGTGCCTCCATTTACCCGAGCAGGACCCGTGTTCTCCTCACTGGGATCTGGGATCTCCTCCACTTGCTCAGGGACCTCCTCCACTTGCTCAGGGACATCGACAGCCCCCGCACCGGCCTCATCTTCCACTTGGCCATTCATTTCTGAAAAGTCTTCTTTCTGTTCTGCATCTTTGTTGGTTTTCTCCTCATCTTCTTCCTCATCGACCATCTCTGCTGGCCTCTGACGGAACAAAAGAAATAATGGGTAAAAGTAGGAAGTGTCACAGATTTTCCATAACAAGTCACAGTGAAGCAGTGATTACTCTACTACAGTCCAGTGAGACTTTCCTCACATGTGTGCCACACTTCCCAGGGCACGATGGGTTTGCACTGACCGAGTACCTACCTCACACCACCCTTTGAAGTGTTTCCTCATTTAATCAGCACAATGATCCTGTGAGATGGGCATCATTCCCACTTTACAGATGAGAAAACTAAGGCATGGATAGCCAAGCATCAAGCCCAAGGTCCCTCTGGAGAATCCAGAAGTTGAACTAAGCACGTGACTTCAGAACCAGTGCTGGAGATCCCCTCACAGACAGGAAACGAATACTTTTTCTAGCTGCCCAACATTGAACTGGTCATTTAACTCTCCAGCCTGAGCTTGGGACTGAATCAGCCCTGGCTTCCTTTCCACCTCTGAGAATTGACTCTTTCCTAAGTTACTAATTTCTATGGTACCATTAATACTCTCCTCATCAAAGTTGGCACAATGCTTTCTGTTGGAGAAGTGAAGAGGGAAGGAAATGAAGAACAGACTTACAGTTTAAAAATAAAATTCCACATAATACGAAAGAAACGGAAGTTGGAATCATGAATTCCTATCTTCTGTTAAAGTCTCAAATGTAGTGATATGATATCAAAGATGCCCTTAAATAATGAGGGAAGAACACTTGTTGCTAAGGTATCACGGCGTTGGTCACCATACGGATTGCATAAGATGGTGAGGCTGACTGTTCGAATTTCCATTCAGAGGCCATTCATTCAAACAGGGTGCAGCCACCCAGGGGGAAGCCCGTAGGAAGGTCAGAGTGGGAAGGGAGTGGATCTGCCAAACGGTGCTAAAAGAAACAGCCAAAGATTCATGACATTTAACTCACAATGTTTGAAATATAAGAAATGTCTTGGTTTTAGTGTATGAGACCTGAATGACTGAAGATGAGAAAACGTCTCCACTCTCCAAACAAGAAGCCGGCATTCTCCCAACTCCCCACCATATCCTCATCTCACCCTCACTCTAAAGAGAACAAGCTCCCAAGGCACCAAGGCACATAGAATTAGGATTCAGAGGGGCAGCGCTGTCACTGCTAAAACTGAACCAAGGAGGACACTTCACACATGAAAGGTGGCTGTTTCCACACACAAACGATGGGCGATCTAAAAAGGAACTTATAAAAACGATTCCATTTACAATAGCTTCAGAAAGAATCACCTTAACCAAGGATATGAAAACATTACAAAATACTGCTCAAAGATATTAAAGAAGGCAAACATATCCCATGTTCATGGATGGGAATACTTAATTTTGTTAAAGCATCAATACTATCCAGTGATCTACGGATTTAGAGCAATCCTTGTCAAAATTCCAATGGCATATCTGCAGAAATGGAAAAACCCATTCTAAAATTCTGAAATATTAAGAAACCTTAAATAGCTAAAGCAATCTGGAAAAAATAAAAAGGGCCCAAACCTGGAGGAGTCACGCTTCCTAATTTCAAAACTTTCCACAAAGCTATCATTATCAAAACCAGTGGTATAAACTGAATCAACGGAATAGAACAGAAGTCCTGAAATAAACTCTCACGTTCAGGTGAGGAAATCAACATCACTCAATGGAAAAAAAAAAAAAAAAACCTTTTCACAAATCATTCTGGGAAAACTGATATCCAGGTACAAAAGAGTGAAGTGGGGCCCTGCCAAGCGCCATATGCAAAAACTGACTCAAAATGATTAGAAGCCTAAGTGATAACCCTAAAACCAGGAAATTCTTAAAGGACAGTAGGGAGCCAAAGCTTCATGACCTTAGGTCCAGCAGCAATTTCCCAGAAATGACACCAAAGGCACAGGAAACAAAGGGGTGGACAAATTGAGCTTTTGAAGTTTGTGACATTTTTGCATCAAAAGACACCACTGACAGAATAAGATGGCAGCCCTCCAAATGTGCAGAGGACACAGACATTTCTCCAAAGGAGACATACAAATGGCCAATAAGTGGGTGAAAAGGTGCTCAACATCACTAATCATTAGGGGAATGCAAAGCAAAACCACAATCCAATACCAACTCACACCCATTAGGATGATTACTATATATATATACACACACAGACACACACACACAAACACACTCACCCATACATACACAAATACATACAGAGAGAGAGAGAGAGAATGACAAATGTGGGCAAGGGGTGGAGAAATGGAATCCCTGGAGCCCTGCAGTAGGGATGTACAGGGGACAGCCTCGGGGCAAACAGCACAGCAGTTCCTTAAAAGTCTAAGCATAGAATGACCACATGGTCCAGCCATTCCACTTCTGGGTGGACGCACAGAAGAACTGAAAGCTGGGTCTAAAGAGACATTCTCACCCCCAAGTTCACAGCACCTTGATTCACGATAGCTAAAATGTGGAGTCGACCCAAGTGTGCAAGGAGACCGACAGCTAAGCAAGAGGTGGACGTCCACCAGTGGAATGCCATTCAGCTTTGGTCAGTAAGGGAATCCTGATGCGTGCCAACAATCAGTGACATCACGCTAAGTGAAATAAGCCACTCACAAAAGACACATACTGAATGAATCCACTTTATGTGAGGTACTTGAGGGAGGTAAAATCATAGAGAGAAGGTGGCCTCCAGGGCCCAGGGGAAGGGCGAGTGGGGAAACCAAGGTCTCGTGGACACAGTCCATCCGTGCAAGATGAAGAGTTCTGGGGACGTGTGGTGGTGACGGCTTCACAGAGTCATGAGCGTAGTTGATGTTTAGGTGCACTGTAGACTTGATGGCTAAGAGGGTAAGATCTACAGTATGTGTACTTTACCTCAGAGTAAGATCTAGAACAAAAATAAAGAAAGAGGGGAAGTCCTGAGCCAAAGATGACCTTCCTGCGTCCCTGAGGGGGGTAGGAAAGAGCCTGCAGCAGGCAGCTGGGGCTTCCCCTGTGGAGACACTGAGGAAGAGGGGACTTCAGAGCTCAGGCAGGGTGAGGACCCAGCTCAGAGAAATCCCTGCAGGTGTCCCCCCACTAATGTGCCGCCAGAAGAGAAGACTAAAGGCCTAGGTTTCCTGGGCCCGAGACAGCGAGTCCCCAACCCAGACTCTGGGGACTTGGGGAAGATGGTCACTGTGGAAACTTTAAGAGATACGTGGGGGCTTTGGCGACGGAGCCTAGGGCACCCTTCTGTGTTAGTACTCCAGATGCCAGGCACTCAGAGACAATATGAGGTCAACAAGAAACTCAGGGCCCAGGCGCAGGACAGCAACAGTGGGAGTATGTGGCAGAGGGGCCTCCAGGTGCGGTGGCAGCCTGCGGCCAGGCCTCGCGCCTCTGTCACAGATGCTGCCACAGCCCATGGGCACTGTCGGCCGACAGGAACAAGGGGCCAGAAGTGGGGTGGCCAGAAGCCCATGGGGGGCACACCTCTATGCCCAGTGCACACCCCCCACTCACTCCTCACTCCACAGCCTCCCGAGGGCCTGAGCACATGTGACCTGTCCCCGCCACACAGCTGGGGGAAGCAGGACATCACAGCACTTCCACCAGCAGGACAGGGGCTGCGGCCGGGCCTGGCGCCCCAAGTCTGGCCCTGCCCTGGACAAGTAACCAGGTGTGGCTCCTTCCCAGTCATGGCTCCAGGGACCTTCCTGTGTCCTTCAGTGGCCAATGAGCATGGCAGCAGCCGTGCGCCACGCCTATCTTCCTGCTTAAAGATCAGGGACATGAAAGCAAAGCCTTTCTGGATTCCCACCAGGGACTCTGGTGTGCGGTAAGGAGGGACCACTGGGCCGATTCTGAGGCCAAGCGCCTGACGCAGTGCCCAGCAAGAGCCCAGAAACAGAAAGAGCAGGTTTCCTCTTACACTATGCGGGGCACGGGGTAACTGCGCGTCCGTCCCAGGAGTCATGTTCACACTTACTGTGTCTAAACCTGCTTTATTCACGGCAAATGAGTTTTCTATTTTAAAAAGAAGTTTACAGCATAACTTAATGAGAAATAATAATAGGGGGGAAAACCTGGAGACAGAAGGAAGGGCAGGAGGGAAAATGGGGTACCATGAACCAAAGTCGATTTCCATGTGTGTTTGAATCTGTAAGGATGAACCCAAATGCTATGTATGACTATAAAGCTGTAATAAAAAAAAAAAAAACTACCATCCACTGTAATTGGGCAAGAATCTAGATACAGTCCTGGCCTCCTGAGAATATGAACACTGCTGCTGAAGCCTATTAAGGTGACAACACCTAAGTGGGAATCACTGGTTTCCTTTCTTGACATCGGGATTTACCCATCATAATTGCAACATGATAGTATGTTTTCTTTTCTTAATTTTTAGCTTTTTTATTTCTCAGTCTTACCCCAATTCCCAAATAGTGTGTCTCTCTCTCCATCCCTCCGCGCGCCTTTCTCTCTCTCTCTCTCTCTCTCTCTCTCCTGCAAAGGGCAGGTATCGCTCTGTTCTGTGCTTAAAGAAGGCCTCCAGCCCCAGACTCGGGCTCTGTCTTCCTGCCATTATCGCCACCTCACTAACAAGCAGCACGATGCTTTCATCCCGTTACTCTACGACCCCCCAGCACAGCCATTTCAGCAGCCATCCTAGGAAGCCACATCTCATTAGTTCAACGTTAAGAAATGCAAGATTATGGTGCTGAAATACCAATTTGATCAATTTAAACAAGATGGCAATATTAGTTAAAAGGCTTATAATCTTTTAAAATATCCTGAGTCTGGAATAAAATTTATTATTACTACGACACTACAATTCAGAGCAAAAAAAAAAAAAATGCTGCTATGACAGATCTGTAATGAATAAATGAAAAGCAATGTGCTTTTCGGTGTAATCTCCTTTGAAGCAGGCATTAAATTATTAAAGATGTTTCCAGTGTATACATCAATCAAATCATCCCCAGAAGGAACACTCGGTTCTACACCCATGCACATGCACGCGCACGCACACACACACACACACA